TTTTTTCCAGGTGTATATATGAGAAAAACCTGACAGTTTAGGTTGAGGTTTTGATTTTATGAGACATGTGTTCTAATTAACTTCAAAAATAAGATACTATGAATTATGAATTAATATTACCGCAGGTTTGAATATCTTTAAATATAAATTGATAACTATTTTTTTAGAAATAAAAAAGAATGAATAAACTATATTCTCATGATTAACATATTGTACCTGAAGCACTGAACTCGATGTATTTCTTTTTTGTAGAAACTCGAGGACAAATGTATAAAACAGCTACTGGAAGAAAATAAATTGTTAAAGGAAACAATAATAAAACTCAAAACATATTCAGCTCGTGTAAATGAATGTAAAGTGGAGGAAGTGCCAGTCTTTTCAGATCCACATAATCAGGTGTTTCCAGATGTTGAAAAAGAATGGTTGAAACAACAATACACGGAAGTTTGTAAAGCTTATAATTATCTCAAAGATAAACTACAAAAATATGAGAGGCTAAACAACGAGTTGGTTGGAAAGTTAGCGGCAGTAGAAAAGTCAAAGCAAGAACTTGAGGAAAATAATCTCCAACTACATATAGACTACGTGTCGGCTAGAGAACACGTACAGAAACTTTTACAACTGGACCATCGACCATGTTTGCACAGCACTTCAGATGCCAAATTCAGAATCGATAAAAGTGAAGACGTTTCTGAAGAGCCCGAATCCTTAGGAACTGCTACAAGTGAAGACGAAGGTCTTGGAGACGACAGCAGAAAAGGAGATTCAACTGGTCCAAGTAGTCTTGCCGATCTCCATGAAACTGAAGAAGATCTTTTGACTAAGTCCTCGGAGTTTAACTTTGCTGAAGAATATGTTATGGAGCATTCAGATTTAAAAATTAACCTTCACACATCACAGGAATTCCAGCAAATGAGATCAGAGTTTGGGGAGATGAACAACTTACGATGTAAAGAAAACCAGCTTTCTGAACGCCGTAATCATTCGAACATGTTTTTCATGGAGTTAAATGAAAAACTAGAAGTAGAAAAAAACCAGATGTGCAAGATTCAATCTGGAAATTGTATCTCTCATCATAACAGTTGTGATGAAATAAACAAGTGGGAAATGGAGATCGAGAAACAACAAGCTAGATTCGAAGAAGACAAAATGCGGCTACAGACAGCGCTAGTAGCAACACAAGTAGAGAAACATCAACTTAAACCACAACTGCTAGAGCCGGAAGAAGTAGAAAATGATGATAGATATCGAGAGGAAAAGTTACAAGAACAAATCAACAACTTGTTTAAAAAACAACAACAAGCTAGGTTCGACGAAGACAAAATGCGGCTACAGACAGAGCTAGTAGCAACACAAGTAGAGAAACATCAACTTAAACCACAACTGCTAGAGCCGGAAGAAGTAGAAAATGATGATAGATATCGAGAGGAAAAGTTACAAGAACAAATCAACAGCTTGTTTAAAAAACATGAGTCATTAAAGGAAGATTTATCTGAAAAAAACATGAACTCTGAAATCGCCATTAAGCAGTTCAGAGCAACAGAACCGTCCAAAAGTGAACTTCGTTCACAAATAACCCACATGGAGGCGCTGTTGCAAAACTTTAAAGTCGACATCCGAAATCTCGAAGCATCTGAAACAGAACTGCGAGAGAAAGTTTTTAAGCTTGAACAGTCATTATTTCATTTACTGTCTGCTGCCACTCATCAAAACTGTGGCTGTTTGATGCGCTCTGGTACTTTTCAACTTGTTAAAACTATAAATCCAGATGTGAAGATGTCATGTGAGAAATCTTCTGTAGAAGTTCAGGTTGATGTTAGCCCTTTTGATAATTCTCGAATGGTGTTAGAAAAGTTTACTCAAACCTTGGAAGACTTTCGGGCAAAGTTTGATGCTTGCTATCACAATCCTGCAATTAATACTATCCATAAAATTTCCAAACCTTCTCTTTGTTTTTTTTCTGAAGTGAAATATGAAAAACAAAGAGATTCGTTGTTTCACATAAAACAAAAAGATTCTACACTGAAAGTGCAACCTTACCAACTGGATGGCCTTCTTTGGAAGAAGTTACATGACTTGGAAAATCACGTTGGGACTTGTAAGAAAAAAAACATAAACAGCGTAATTGTCAGTCTACCATTTCTAAATGGGCCCGAAGAAAAAGAACAGAAAACACCACTATGCCTTAACCTTTTGACCATTGGAAAGTATGATACGTTTGACAAAGAAATGCAAATATCTCTCCCTTTTCAGCTACAAATCATTCCAGTGACAGCGAATGGCATTTTACAGCAGAGATGTGAATATTTTCTTTCCGCAATGTTAAGTTTAGATAGCGGTCAAGAAAGACTGGAAGAACGATTTTGTAAACAAGAAAGAATGAAATATGAATACGAAAAAGAATTAGAAAGAAAAGAAATATTTCACAAAGAAAGAGTGATGCAGCAACAAAAATGGAAACTAGAAGAAATGTTACCACAGAAAAACATTCAAATGCTGAACAGAGAAAAACCTTTATTTCTTGAAAAAGCTTCATCGTCAGATTTAGAAAATCTTGAAAGAAATGTAAAATGGATACAGAAAACATTTCAGGATCTCAAGATAAAACACACTAGAGAACTTGAAGATTTAGAACACAGACATAACCACGCAGTTGCAAATCTTAGTCATAAAATAAAAGGTTTAGAGAAAACAATCGAAAAAATGAAAGATCAGGTAACTAAATATAAAGAAGAAGCAAAAATAATAAACAATGAATTGATTCAACAAATTACTGGTATATCACATCATGTAATTTTTCCCAGAATAGCAGAAACAAGAAACGATGAACAAAACTGCTTTGAAGAGCAGGTCAGACAAAAGAAACATCGTCTAGAAAAACTGAAAGAGGCACATAAGTCACAACCGGAACTCTTAAAATCGGAACGTTTTGGAAACGAATCAAAATTAGAAAAAGAATTAATAGAGCTTCGTTTTCAAAATCAGAATCTTGATGACAAAGTCGCATTGCTTCATGAAAAATATATGGAATTAGAGAAAAAAATAACGTTTAAATCAAGTGATCTTGAGCTCTGTGATCAGAAATACAAATATAGTATGAAACTTTTAGAGGAAGAGCATCATACGGTGGAAGCAAAATTAAAATGGAGGACAAAAGAAATGGAAGACTACATAAAAACTTATGTAACTGCACTGAAAGAAGAAAAGGAAAATTTACAAGTAAGCCTTCAAAATGCCTTGGATGATCTTCATTTCAAAGAAGGCTATGAGTTTCGAATTTCAGAATTAGAAAAACAGATAGTGGATCTAAAAACTAAAAATGATAATGTAACAGAAGACGTTTATTCTTTTAAAGTGCCTAATGCTCAAACAAAGAAAAATGCAGAAAAGTATCATCTTCGTGACATGGAAGACACCAGAATAAGAGAACTTGAAAGCATTGAAGCAGACTTAAGGCTAGAGGTAAGAAGATACAAAATTATGTCGTTATCTGTATAATTAAGTTAGTCATGTTAGAAAGCTAAATACTGTATTTGTCAGGTTATTTTAATGATTACTTATTGTTACAACTATTAAACATATTATAAAATGTTGAATTATCATATTATCTCTCTCCACACGGGCTTGGTCAATTTGACCAACCACGTAACGTTTTTGTACTCGTATAAAGTCTTTATAAATTTGATACTACTAACTTTTAATATAATGTATATATCTTCACGAAATATGCTATCCTTTCGGTAAACATTATTAGCCTTTCCCATACAAAAAATCATATTTTCAGTGAAGTATTTTTAATAAATTAAAAAACAAATTTGTCCCTAAAATATATCGAATATTTGTTTTGAATAACCCGTGTGCAAAGTGATTTTCATGTTAAGATTAAAATACTTTTCTTCATTTCAAAAATCCCAAATTTCATTTGTGTAATCTCTAAAACCTCCTAAATATATTTCAAATGCATATTTTATCTGTATTTTCTCTACCCTAACTCTATACAAGGTTGGTCAATTTGACTGATCTCCTAACCCCCACAAAAAAGAGAAAATCAAAATAAATCTAAATTACCCTCCTTTTCTTTCTAGAATGACTTCAAATGTAGCATGAAACTATATACATTTATCCTAAGTAACTTTAAACTCGTAACAGTATACATCTATTTGTAATTAAATGTTATTGTTTTATTACCCTTTTGATTACCCTTTGAACCGTGTCTAACTACTATTCGCGTCATTATAAGTTGTAAATGACTTGGGGAACGTGCAGCTTATGCTATGCTATCAAATTGCATTACCCATGACCTACTCGGAATTGAAAGTCACAACTGTGTACTTCATTATATATATGAAACTTGAAACTGGTAAAGTTTGGGAAGTTTGAAAAGAAATACCCTTTCTTTGTGGTGGTACAAAATTCCAAACTCACAAGAGTAGGTCATACAGTCTTGGCCAAAACGTTTGCGTATTTTTAACAAATAAGATCGTTATTATTAAGTTGGAATACAAATATACTTAGTGCTGTCAAACTGAGTAATGCATGTTACATTGAACGTCTACATATGTAATTTGTATAATTAGACAGATTCTATATACATCATCAACGATTTATTAGAACAGCTAACAATTTTATCAGACACCTATAGAAAGGTGTGTAATTTAGCGTTTCACCCATCACAACAAAACCTTACCAAAACATATATAATGACAAAATATAACAATAGTTTTCAATAGGATTACAATCTGTAGACTTTGCTAGCCATGGCAATCTCGTAACGCCCTCCTGGTCAAGATAATCCTGCACTTGTTTGGTCAGTATCCTGTTCACTGAATATGTTCACGACATTTCTGTCGTAAGGTGTTGCAAGACTTCTTTCGACCTTGATGTGCTAATCTGATCAAAACACGATCATCTCGAGCAGTAGATTTTCAGCGTCTATCAGTAGACTTTCCTGGAACAACGTTTCTTTTAGTCCAGTGACGTTTCAGGTTTCTGGATACAGTCCACCGGAGTACCCTATTGTTCTAGCAATGTCCATTTGCTTCATACCATTTCTGGACAGTCGAATACTTTGATACCCTATAACTTCTGGCACGTGACGGGGTATGACTCTACACCAAGTTCAGAGAATTTATCTGAACAAAGCGTTGATCTGTTAAGAGAAAGATTATACCAAAAGCATACTCTTTTATACAAACCAGGTGTGTATGTGTTGTTTGTCGAACAAATGCTCAGAACAACTTATACAGACCAGAATATCAACTCGTACATGTTTGTCCGATTATACACTAACTTCTCTGTTACTACTCTTGATACCCAATTATTTGTATGTTATTGATATATTATTTTAAGTCTCTCAGTGTGAGGATATTTAAATATTTAGAAATTTTTTCGTCACTACAGGTTACTCGTCTTCGTCAGTGTTTGTCTGCTTCCAACTCCCACTTGGAGGACCTTGACTGTGTCCGCCGAAACCAAGAACACACCATCACCCGCTTAGAAAAAGATAAAATATCGCTTCAAGATGAGTTGCTGCAGTTGCGCGCTAGTTCTGGAAAATCTCAAGAACTATTTGATAGAATAGTTCAGTTAGAAGAAGACAAAATTAAACTGTTGAAAAGAATTGAAACGATGGACATTGAAGAAGAGTGGAGAGAAGGGCTCAGAAACGTTAACGCACAATTACAGCAACAAGTAAGTGAAGTTTTTATCTATTTCGAAACTACAGTGTAGTAATAAACATAAAAAGTAAACTATCATACTGAAGATGAAATGGACTTTATGGTACTTCTACTTCCATTATCGATCGCCCTCAGTCTGATAACTGTGATTACGCATTACAACCCGATATTACAATTACCAGTGCACAAAATTCAACGAAGTTCGGCGACGCTAGTCGCAGACCACATTCCGTGACAAACTACATCGGGGGGGGGGGGGGGGGGGTGTCTTAATAGGTGTGTTTGGAAGTTTGTGAATTTCTGGCTTGAGCCTGCGTCAGTTTCAAGTCCTTATTTATAACATTGTTAACTGTGCCAAGAGATACGCCCAGCGTCATCACAACAGTGTTTTGGGTCAGAGGGCTATCTTTCTTGAACATATTCTTCACTTAGCGGATGAGGGCGTTGTTCTCCATTGGCTTGGGGAGCCCGATCCTTTTATAAACGTTTTGTTGTGCTAGTTTCCAAGAGAACCATTGAAGGCTCCCTTCTTTGAAACCTTGTGAGTTTTAGGTTTTTATCGTTTAACAATATCGCTGTACGAATAACCTTCCTCGGACTTATTTATCCAGCCATAAGCCGAGAATTCGCTGTGAATGAGCTAATTATATAGGGGCTAAATCTCACTGTGTCACCTCGCCACTGCATTAGCATATATAAATCGGTCTTATAAAGGGCAATTAACCCCCTGAAATAGTAGATCTGAATATTAGATATCTTTTGATGCACAAGATTGATGATTAGTTTACTGAAAAACACAAACCAAATATTCTTTAGCAACTACTTAAGATATTTTACAAATATTTAAAGCGCATGAGGGTATTGTAACTGAAAATAAAGATCTTCAAACAAACACAGAGCATAATTTATGTATCTATTGAATACATACATAATACTTACTGCCCCCTGTACTTACTCCCAAATAATAATAAAACTACGAACATTTATGGCTTTAAATAATATTTTCCCGTTCATTGTCTGGTATTTTTTCCGAGTGTGTAGCTTTGTGCTTAACTTCAAACAAACGAAGGCTAACTATGGTGTTACTTGTTTTCTTCTAAACAATATCACAACTAATGAAAAAAAATTTATCATTCAAAATAAAACACAATTAAATTTGTTCTCTTAAAAGTTAAACCTTTCTATCAATATTTTATTTACAGTTACCCAAAATTAATAACTATGTAGCAAATTTGTAGTAACAAATTACAAAGTCCAGGTGAAAAGGAATATTGAACGGTTATTTTCGAATAAGGATTCATCGTGCTATTAGAAGTTAGTTTTTCTTCATATTTTACGCTCTGTGGTAGAGTTCTGTGTTTAAGAGCTGGCGATCCAAGTTCGAATTCATGCGATACCACAAAATATTTAAGCTGTAGGTGCATTAGAAGAGTGCCATTCAATCCCTTAGCGTGGACGGTGGATAGTAGGGTACTACTGAGTGATTGATTCCCTCAGACAGACATAATAACTTTGTCTTAACTACAAAATATAATAGATATACTGAAATGTACTTATAACACTAAACTTACGATGTTTATTTTTAGCAGGGCTGATCGTGGCTCTATTGGTTAATGTATTGAACTGTGGATAAAAGATTCTGTATTTCTTGCCCTAACACCGTAAAATAAACAAAAATTACCCTCCGTAGTTTGGATCAGAATGATGGTAAAATCTCTCGTGTATTGAACTTTGGTATATGGTCCAGTGGAGCACATCATTTGAAAGTATGTGATGGATTACCATAGTCCGAGCTACAGAAAGTGGAAAATTGCTAAACTATCACTCTTGTTAATAACACACAGTGTGTCCTGGGCAGAGCACGGATAGCCCATTGAGTAGCTTTGTGCTTAACTTCAAACAAAAACAGTGTGTCCTACAGGTAGTTTTGGCCGCACGACACACTACCGTGTGTCTTGGTCTGCTATTGAGCCTAAAGTGAGTATTGAACTTTTTTCAGTTCTTACTCACAAATAATGATAAAACTACGAACACATGTTTCTTTAAATATTATTTTCCCATCCATTGTTTGGTATTTTTTCCCACTGTGTAAATACTTATATATTCCTGTTTAGGAAGTCTTTATTTTTAATGCATTGTTCATTATTATCAAGTACTACATTTATTGCAATCAAAAAAAAAGATTTATTTTTGTTGTAATTGGATTTCAATTCTTTTATAAGACAAAAACTTGTATTTCGTTCTAATTTTAGTAATTCTCTTATTCCTCGACATGTAAACAGTAATTTTACAGAATTATATAGATAAAATCCAGAGTTCGTTTCATCGCTGTGGACAGAGCACAGATGGTCTACTTTGTAGCTTTGCGATAAAACAACACCAGCAATATTTTATTACTGTTTTTATTTATCCTTCTAACATTTATTACTTCATAATTTTATCAGTCACTGTTGATTTGTGTTTAGGACAATGCTGTGCAATGAGCTAACTGCGCTTGTCCACCCCAGAATCTAGCGTTATGCGCTCTGAAGAGCTTACAGCTGAATTCTCAGCTAGGCTGTAATACTTAGTATACCTTCATTAAAAAATTTCATAACACCGGTGGCCAAAGGGAATCACAATTATAAATTATTGTGCAGATTCGTGGTTTGGGGTTTAAAACCCTGTTATGAGTGTTATCTTACTGGAGATTTACAAGCGAAACTGATTACCCCAAGAGTAAATAAGATAGGTCAGCTATATAATGGAAGATTCGATCAGGAAATATTACGAAGTAATTCTGAATTTCTCTGAGTTTGTGCAAAAACATATGAGAGAGACTGGACACAAATGTAGATATGCAGTGAAAATAATAGTTATTTCAAACACAAAACAGCAGTGTTTGCATTGAGTTATCCTAAAGGACAATCGCTTTTACTTGAGAGAGATTTCTAGATTGTCTGTTTTCTCTAAACTTGTTTTAGACTCTATTCTCTTCAAATCTATGTGATTTTGATACTAATCCAGTCTAGGAAAACATCACCTTACATATCAGTCAGCCTAAAATTTGTGATCAAATCATATAAACTACAGATGCGTTTTTTTCCACATTCCTCTTAATTTGTCCATTTTGGATTTAAAAACATGTGAAAATAGTATTTCATATCTATCTTTTGTCTCCCACAAATTACTCGCTCCCCAAGAGGGCCTTTCTTTAGTACCAGAACTCGTCAAATCTAGGCTTATTGGTATCTAATGAAAATAGAAGTTTAACCTCTAGTCTGACCTGTTTTTTTTTTTTTGTAGTTAAACATAAAGTTACACTGTGGGCTATATGTTCTACGCCCACTACAGGTATCGAAACCCATTTATGGGGGGTTATAAGCCTTCAGACTTACTGCTGAGGTACTGTATCTCTATCAATGGAGAAAACTGCTGTCTACTTTCACATACTAAGAATAACTTCATAGCTGTCGTCCCCACGGGTAGACAAGGTGTCAACTTCAATGAATGACACAGAACAGAATTGTTAGTTAGACAGAGTGATAAAAATTTAACGACTTTATTGACAAACATATTATGTGAAACTGCATATACACAAGAATAAACGACAATAATTTGAAAAATTGTATGTTGATATTAGGTCGGCAAGAAATTAATGTCGTTTTTTTAGATGAAAAAAACCCGAACAACT